TTTTTTGCGGTACGCGGGCCTCTCACTGTTGTGTCCTCTCCCGTTGCGGAGCACAGGCTCCAGACGCGCAGGCTCAGTGGCCATGGCTCACGGGCCCAGCCACTCCGCGGCGTGTGGGATCTTCCCGGATCGGGGCACGAACCCGCGTCCCCTGCATCGGCAGGCGGACTCTCAACCACTGCGCCACCAGGGAAGCCCTGCATTTTTTTGTGTGTGGCATTTATTCCCAAGCCATAAGTTTTTTTTGTTGCTGTTTTGTTTAATTAATTAATTAATTTTTGGCTGCATTGGGTCTCCGTTGCTGCACGCAGGCTTTTCTCTAGTTGCGGCGTGCGGTGGCTCTCATTGTGGTGGCTTCTCTTGTTGTGGAGCACGGGCTCTAGGTGCGCGGGCTTCAGTTGTTGTGGCACGTGGTCTCAGTAGTTGTGGTGCGTGGGCTCAGTAGTTGTGGCTCATGGGCTCTAAAGCGCAGGCTCAGTAGTTGTGGTGCATGGGCATAGTTGCTCCGCAGCATGTGGGATCTTCCCGGACCAGGGCTCGAACCCATGTACCCTGCATTGGCAGGCAGATTCTTAACCACTGTGCCACCAGGGAAGTCCCGTAGGCCATAAGTTTTTATTTCTTCAGTTTCTTCTGGAATATATTTTTCTTCCGTGCAACCATCTGCTCTTTTTCAGTAAAGATCGTCTCAGTGTGGCAGGGAGAGCTCACGTATGGGTTGATCTGACCATGAGCTCTCTTAAGTCCTATGCCGCATGTTGGGGGCTTTATTCACTTGGATGTGCTCAATGACCAGAGAATCTGCATGTAAGCCCTTAAGTTCAGCATTACTCTCTGCATTTTTGAGCATGTGCTGTCAAAATTCAGCACTCTTTTTGGGCCACTGACCCCGCGTCCAGCCCCACTGTTTGGCCTGGGCACACCTACTAACTCCACCATTGTGACAACGGAATGGCACACATTGCTTCTGTAAAGTGATATCCTTCAGATACTTGGTGGCTTTTCGGTTATGCATACCCTTAACGGCCTGGACAGTTTCACCAGTGTTCTTAAAGTGAACACGAAGATTCGAACCTCTTGATTTGCATGATTTTGTGGGGTTTTCTGGGTCAAGTGAATACCGAATCATTTTTAGAGGTCACCTCAGGCAGCTTACCGGAAAAGGACCACCCTGGTAGGTCTTGTACCTGTTCTCCAGGTGGGAGATATTGAGGTTCAAACTAAGTCATGTTCCCAAGATGATATAGCTAGTAAATGGGTCTGGAACTCAGGTCAGCTTGATTTCAGAGCCTGAACTGTGACATTTCTTCTTTCCCAGCCCATTTCATTCCACCCTGTAGGTCTGGTTCCGTTGCCTCACGCCTGGAATGTGATAATAGCTACCTGACCAGTTGCCTGTTCCCTGGGCCCTCCGCACCTCTCCTTGGCCTGCCCTTAGTCATAAGGGCAATACTCCACAGGATTGCCTCCCTGCCCGAAATCTTGGTTGGCTCTGGTCAGGATCCAACCCAACCAGTATTTCAGGCTTGATGGTCTCCACATTCACTTCATGCCCCACTGCCCCCCTTCCCATTCCAGGCTGCGTGCAGCTCTCCCAATCCATCCTCCACACCTCTGATCTTGTATTAAGTCCTGGGACTGCAGAGTCAGGCAGGGGCAAGGTCTACCTGGTCATCCCTTTACCCCCTACTCACAGGAATCCCTTCCTCAGTAACACCCCTCGCGCGAACACCTCTGCTTCACGTGGCACCCTGGCCTCTCCAATCACAGAACAGTTCTTCCCCACGTTGAACTGTTTGCCTGACCAGCTTCAATCCAGCTTCTTCCAAGGACTCTTGGTTGCAAGTGATAGAAAATCAACTCCAACTGCCTTGAGCAAAAAGGGACTTAGTTGACCCAGGTCTTGAAAAGTCCAGGAGTAAAAGTGGCTCCGACATCACTGGATCCAGGATTTGTCTCCAGCTGCCATCCCTTGGCTCTGCTTTCCTCTGAGTTGACTTTACTCTCAGGGAGGCCGTCTCCCTGCGGAGGCCCTAGCAGTTTCTGGCTTACATCCAACCAGCCTAGCAAACCCAAGTGAAGTGAGAGGGCCTCTCCCAGGATCTGTCTTAACTGGCTTCACTTGGATCACAGACCCATCCCTGAACCAGTCACTGTGGCCAGGAGGATAGAATCAGACCTCAGTCATGTGCCCACCTCCTGGGGCAGGAGGGGAATCAGCTTCACCTGGACCAAAGGAAGATGGGAGTGTTACAAGCAGATGAGGACATCGATGGTCGCAGGTCACAGTAACAGATATCCACCTCCCTGCCCTTGTCCATCAGCAGGA